ATGGATTTATAAGAGAAGCTTAATTGTTGGAGATTGAACTAATCCACAACATATACAGTAACTAAACCTAGTTCTGCATAAACAGGTGACATAAAAAGATCTAAAATATTAGAATGCTGCTTATATTTTGTACATTTTGCAAGTGATGGATATCTGTATGTACTTTACTTGACAACATTTTTTAATTTCTTACTTTTTTGTGTAGTACAGTATATTCAGTGGTATTAACTACTTTTAAATGAGAAAAGGCTCTTAATATTTCTTTCACCACAGAATCTGACACTTTTCTTTCTACTTCTTCATTTTTCAGACTGTATACTCGACACCTCTACGCATTTTACTTTTATGTTTTTTTTTAAAGTTGTCAAATTACCAGTCCTGATAGAACAGGTTTTGAAAAGTTTTCCCTTCACTGACTGTATAACAACCTCATTATATTCCCCTAAATGGGTTTGTTTATTCTGTTTAGTTAATCCTGTCTCAAAATCATATTCCCCGTATAAAACCTGAAGATACATTACCACAACAAAACACCTGAGTCTCCAAAACAATTACAGTTCAAATGTATTTAATAGTAACAAAATAACATGAACATATAGCAATAATATCAAATGAACAGTGGACATTTTAAAACAGTTCCTGAGTTGGTACACAAATCATTGACACTAATGTCTGAAATGACATACTGTTGTTACTGACAGACTCAACACTGCAGATACACACTGAACAGTGAATACTGTAAATTTATTTCCGACGAACAGTTTATTGCAGTATTTACAATAAGGTATGGAGTGCAATGCATTAAAATCAAAATATCAAAAAATGTATGTATGTATGTACATTTAATACTGAGTCGAAACTGGACAATATGTCCAATACTCACAAAATAATTAGTAAAGCACAAAAGGTCACTTATACACAGAAACAGCACTCTAAAAAATCATACTTCACCACCTTTATAGTACACATTGACTTTGCAGCATAGTGGGATATATGGTATTCAAATTCACGATTTAATCTGTCTCCATATACTTGTAAATATTTGTAATCGTCTGTAAATATAATAAAAGGCTGATAAATTGTGCCTTATGAGTTTGAGCTGATCAGCCTTTTGCAGTCTGCTACTTATTGCCTGCATAACTACAGTATATACAAAACACGTTTTGACTCTTCTGCATGTGAAACGAACTAAGAACATGTCTGTCTTATGAACAAAGTGAAAATAAAGGAGTTTTGTAAAACAACTTCAGTGTACACAGTAAAAAGTTTAGGGTTTATAAAAGAGGATTTGTTCAAAAAACCATGAAGGAATGTAGCTTACAGTAACCTTTGTGATGACACTGTGGGCCAAATATCAAATTTCACAGCTTTGAAATGGTTTGTGTGTGTTGTGAATTCTGTTGGAAAATGATTTAAAAAAAAAAAAACATAATTAAACAAGGTGTCAAAACCAAATGTTTTCATGGAAATCAACATGAAGAAAATAAAAAAAAATTCTGTGGCAATATAAAAATCAATACACTGTGCCACAAAATTATATTAAAATTACTTTGGCAAGTTGGTTGATTTGATTTTGATGTGCATCAGAGAATAATGTGCTGTTACGCCTCAAACGTCACCGACAGGAGCATCATTGTTGCAAGTTAACCTCAAACAGTGTTTGTCTTCTCTTGGTTCCTTCTCATTCTCAGTGTCAGCTGTCAAATGACAAAGGAAGACTTGTGGCGGAAATGACCCTGTGAAGAACAGGAAGCAGAAAATCATTGTAATATTTTTTTTGTTCCTAATAAGTAACACGTGTAATATATGCTGTGTGTGGTTTGCAGAGTTTGTGTACCTCATCTGCATCACCGTATTCAACGCCATCATTCTGCGCGGGCCAGTTGTAGCTGAAATAAATTAAAGAAAGGTAAGATGCAAAATCTTTGATGGAATTTAAAAAAATAATTTTCTTACATCTCCTCAGTCCTTCTGCTGAGCTGCAGGTTGTACTCACTTATTTTCATTGTGACCTTTTTTGTGGAAGCATCCGCGTTTAAGGGAATGACAAAGGCAGGCAGTCACACAGATGAATAGAGTCACTGCAACCAGTGACTTGAGGAAAATCCCAAGGATGTCAACGTCATCTGCAACAGCACACGGAGCAGATCACTGAACAGGTGGACTGAGACGTACACATCAAGGCATTTCACAACCAAAAGAGTAGTAATATCATTTTTGTCCTTGCACTGAAATCTTTACTTGATTATTAGTTTAGCTGATCAGCAGAATATTTTAATATTCAATGAATAATTTCAGCAAACTATCAAGATATGAAACACTGACACACACCTTCTGTTACAACTCATCATATTAAGCAAGACAGCTTTAGATAAATATACAGGCTCTGATGGTAATGCATGGAAAATAGTTACTAATTTTGACATTTTGTGGTGCAATGTGGTGAAAACAATGTATATCTGTAGCGCAACTATCTGCAACGTATACAGATTACAACAAGTACTTACTGCTGCTTCTTTGCATATTATATTGACAGCAGAAAACAACTTACCAAACTATCTAATACCAACTATTTCACATTGCTGCATCCTGCTCTGCCTGTAGTTCCCTCTCATACTCTCTGTCACCTGCATGTTAGGATATTAAAGAGCTCAGTGGTCAACACTTCACAGCGACATGGCCGACTGGGGCTTTTCTGTGTCAAGTTTTGTTTGCAAAGACAAGCCGGTTAGATGATTCTCTTGTCTCTCTGCTGCCTCCAAATGGCAGCTATTTTGACATGCTGACACGATGAATGCGCAGCATGCTTGTCCTTCAACTGATTTAAGTGGTGAGAACGTTGTTGCTTGGGGACTGATAACAAAAACGCTGAATGTTGAGGAGTTTGGTGGTTTGAGGCAATTTTAGACACAAGAAATATTAGCTAGTTTCTTCCCTGATGTGTGAATAGAGTGCTTCAGTTTTGCCTTTGTGGTTCCAAAACTTAATTGTGGCAAGGTGGCCATGTGTCTGGAGACAAGTGGAAGTGGCTGGACGTCCTTTATCCATTAGTGTTCATCTGCTCATCCCTGGTCGGGTCACAGTGGCACAAGGTGAAGCAGATTTTATTCTCTGTATGCTTTCATTTTAATATTTTTGATTTTCTGCAGTGTAACTCCTCAGTGTCCTAGAAAAGGGGATCCCTCTTCAGTTAGAGTTCTTTTATTGATAGGGTTTTTTCAGGGGGAGTTTTTAAGCATCCGAGTTGCAGGTGTTGAGGTAAACTTGTGATTTGTGACATGTCACCACTCCCGAACTCTGCGCTACCATAAGCCTCCAATTTAAAGAGTCGCACATATCACATCAGTGGGACGTTTAGTTAATTCTTCTCACTAAGCAGGAGCACACTTGAGGTCACTCCTGACTCTGTGATACGCTAACAACCTGTCCACAATGTACCCCGCATTAGGACACGGTGTATGCAAAAAAGACATTTAGCATAGTTCCTCCCTGTTACCTGTATTCTGCTTTTGCACATGTTGTCTATTTGCCTTCATTGCCTGTTCCCCCTTCTGTTCTCACATCTACCTGCCAAGCTTCTAAGTTTCTCTTCTTCAAGTTCCACATTCTGATTTAGTCTTCAAGTTCAAATACAAAACCATGCGCATGTGTGCGTGTCACTCACAAACTTCCATTATTTGCGGGGGACACTGTGCATGTCCCGCATCATTCTTTGCTTGGCAGTAGTACTCTCCCGCATCCTCCTTCCTCACCCGTCGAAATTTCTGCGGAGACATTTTTAGATTCAGTGCGTTGACGCACTGCTGGGTTGTCAACAAAATGCTAAAATGTACCTGACTGTGGATAAATGTTCTGCTGTTCTGAAGGCTGATTGTCTTTGATAGTGTTGTACCATTTTATTATTGTGTTTTGTAACATGATTGAATTTGTCACACTTTTACGTAGTTGCCACGTCTTCAAAGGAAACCATAAATACATCAGCTGGCTGCATGCAAAATTACATCCTTTCATATGCCAGTGTTTCATTAAGCGTCCTCACCGGCTATCTTTGCACGCACACGGCTAATCCTGCTATTAGTCATAAGATGGTTAAGGTTTTATTCAGATTAAGCTGTTCACATTTGCATTAGATAAGCTGTAATTGAGAATCCTTGATGCTAAAGACTTCCATCCACAAACACAACAGTCAGCCAGGAAGAAGAAGAAGTAGATTTCTAATAATGTAACAACAATAAATACTGATTGTTGCTACTGCTTCAAGTAATAAATGGAGCAATAATGAATGCCTCTGTCTTTCTTACCAGGCCTCCGGTGTCTGGATTGATGCTGTAGGAGGAGTTGACGAATCTCGGGCTGTTTTTGGGATCCTGGGGAAGCTCTTCGTTGTTGTGGAACCAGCGGTACTGAGGAGCGGGGAAGCCCTCGTTCTCCAGACATCGCAGCTCTGTCGATGTTCCAACCGTGACCGCCTCTGGCACACTGCACCGTGGCACAACAGGTTTGACTGCACACAGACACAGACTCGCATCAGCCGACAACAGATTATGTAATGTTTACACAGCCTCCTACTGATGCTGCTACTGCTGAAGGACTGCAGGGTGAAAAAAAAAATCCAGCAGCAACGATGTAAAGTTTTTCAGAAACTTAAATTTTTTTTTCATGTATTTTCTAGCTTAGCAAGCAGCAGAACCTCACAACATTGTAGGCAACACATTCCGTACTGACAGTTCTATTATAAGGTTGATTTGCATTGATTGTTAGTGGTTCTACGTGGGCAGGTTGGAGGGATTTCTGAGCCAACACTGCTGGCACTTGTTTTTTTTTCGAGTTTCTCTGTGCGCAGGCCAGGGTCTGCTTCAGGCACCGCGTCTGAAGACAAGGTTGGGCTTCCTGAGGTGAAGCGTGTTGCCAGGCAGCCCTGCTCAGAGAGTACTGCTATCCAGTGATATGTAACGTTTCCAACTGCCTGTGATGAAGTAAATGCAGCCGAACCGCTTCCTTCCTGCCTGTAGTGCTCCTGACTGTTCCCCTCTTTTTAAAGCGTTACAGTATCACCACAAGCTCCAGACATTCCCCTTGATTTGTGCGATTTTACACAGTTTTACAGCTTCTCCAAATGTTTGCACCTTGCTGAGACTGCTGGGTAAATTGTTACCCTGCAGGCAGCGGGTGTTATAGCACTCTGATTTCTGCCCCAGCAGCCCGTTTGATTAACCCACCATCCCTTCAAAAGACAACAGCTGGCTGCCTGGCAACCTCACAGTGGCTTCGTTTTCCTTCTCATCTAACCCCATGTAGGAAAGTGAAAGCGAATTTCTCTCCTAAATATTTATTATACAGCGTAAAAATAGAAGAAAAGCAACTGAATCTTGGATTTCTGAATTAAAGTACAGTTTCCTGTTTAACTCTTTGAAGTGCCTTATGTTTCAGTCAGTCATGGGCAGGTCGGTGACGTGTTAAGTATCTCCTCTTTGTACCTCTTACTGCAAGACTAATAAGTATCTCATCAAAGTCCCTTTGATCATCGATGGCGGCCACCTCACAGCGGTACTCTGCAGTGTCTGATCGAGTGGTGTTGAAGATCAGAATGTTGGCTGGCTCTCTGAGCTGAGCTCTGCGCTCCAAGTCCCCTTTTGAGAGGAAAAAAAAAAAAAAACACTTTACAATGGCTCATTCAAATACACAGCGTGACTTCACAGTTAAAAAACAGCATTCAGTGCCAACTTCTTTCAAGGTACCATTCATTCAGCTAAGCTTGTCCTTAGACATTGCTTTGAAATGCTGTGGTCGACCAGTTGATGGTTTTTTTTTTTTTTTTTTTTTTAAAGTGAGTTTCCAAGAGGTTTACCTGATATCTTGTTCTGAAAGTACACATAACTGGGGACACCGTTTTTAATCTTTTTCCATTCAATCCGTGGGTTGTTTGTTGAGATGGATTCTATTAAACAGGTCAGTTCGATGGCTGGGAAGAAAACAGAACGCGTGAGAATGCAGGAAGAAGTAGAGCCCAGATCAGAAACAAAAAAAAAGAAAAGGTGCTTTGGCTAAATAGGTTGGAGCAATTTTCCAGCAACTTACGCTCAAACTCATTTGCCCACACAATCTTGTCCGTGGTTCGGAGGATTACTCCCAGTGATGATGGAATGTGGCCTGTGGGGGGGAAAAAAAAAGACATTAAATGCTGAGTAACCCTGATTGCACACACAAGCATTTTCATTAGCAGACACTATCAAGCGGGCATGTTGCCTAATAAACAGTGGATTAGACTGATAAATACAGCGAGTGTGAGAGCCTTGGGATGTGATTTAGGGTGAACATATCGCATTAATTACTTCCCATTTCTATTTAAAAAAACTGACGCTTTGGGCCAAAAAGTTCTATAGTTTAATGAACACGTGGACCGCACAGAAGAAGCTTTTGGAATAAACTTGCGGTAGAAATGTTCCGACTTTGGTATTTAATTGGTTTCTTTTGTGGAGCTTAATTAGATAATAATTTGGATGGTGATGAATCATTGCAAGAGACAGAAAGTTCATAATGTTAAGCTACTGCTGTAAAAAGATTACTACAGAGATGTCTGTATATTTAGGCAGTGATCCATTTTTTTAATTGTTTTGGCTTTAATTCAGCACAATGCATCTGAAAGGAAAGCTTTAATTTTTTCTTTAAGTGTGTTTTAGGAGGATTCAGCAGAGTAGAGCTAGAACAATACATCTGTTAGTTAGCCCTCAACTAGTTTGATAATCAATTAACTATTAACTAAGTATTGTTTTAAAGGAAAAATCTGATTTCAGCTTTTTAAAACTGAACATTTTCTGTTTCTTTGCTTCTCTTTGACTGTAAATCTTTGGGTTCTGGGTAAAACAAGACAACAACATGAACCTTGAGAAACTGTGGTTGACATTTTTCATCATTTTCTGACATTTTATAGTCGAAAAAACTAATTGACTAATCAAGAAAATAACCGGAAGAATACTCGACAATGAAAATAAGCATTAGTTGCAGCCCGATAGTCGAGGCAACTAAGTGTTTTAAAGCCAAAGTCAATTTATTTCAATTACTGATAACTAGGACTGAAGGCAAAAAGCTCCTGAAGCAAGTCTCATATCAAGAAAGGATTACATTCTCTGTGCTTACTGGGGTACAGCTGGGTCTGGCGAAGTAAAGGGTATATATACTTCAGGAAATTGCTGGTTATTGATGTAATCGATTAGGAGCTTTCAGTTTCTTTATCTACTGATTTCTATGCTGAAACTACTCTGGTGATCAAAACTAACAGAAAAAGAAAAGACAGCGTATCCACACACAACGAGGGTGGAGATGCGTGATTTCTGCCAAAGATACAGCTGATGTTAGAATGTGAGTGTCTGCATCATTACTTCACCACATCTCACTAGTGTTCAGATGACGATATGCCTCTAAGGAAGAGCTGGAATCGGTCAATGATGTGTCACCCATTAGAGCAGAGAGTGCCCATTTCTTTTTTTAACAAACAAATCATCTCCGTATTTGGGACAATGTACTCTAAAAGCATTTTAAAAAAGAGATGGGTTTTGTGAAGTTGTATGCTGTTTAACCATTTAGTTATTTTACCACTCAACACAACACGATATCAATTTTTAAATGTATTTTTTCAGGTTTAGCGGAAGAGCTCCTACACTAAACTGTGACGCTAATTTATACCGAGGTTTGCAAAATAAATAATTTAGCCAAAAAAAATCCCCCAAACAAATCAAATCAGAAGCACAGAAATAAAACAGTGGGAATGTGGTTACATTTGAACCATATTTAATCAACCGTCTTGGTTTCCCTCTGGCACAAACACAACACATGAGATGCACTTCTTTTAACTTCCACGCTTGAGTGAACTGCTTACAGCAATCAGTGCTATTTAGTAAATGTCAGATTTCAACGGCAAGAGGCATAATTTACAAGTTTTGTCAAGTTCGGGACGGCAGAATGCAAATATATTAGTGAACTGTGGGGGAGAGGGGTGTGCAGGGCGACAACAAATTAAGGAAATTACTGTTCTATATGTACAAATAATTCAACAATGAGGGTGTTTTAAAACGCTGAGGATAAATAAGTATGCTTCTGCCTTACGCTGATACCCTATACTCAACATTTTTTGTCTGTCTTTTTCCAAACGCAGTAATTGCTGGGTATACACGCAGCTAACAGCACCCATGTTGAGTAATGGAGGCGTTCGTGCTCCCAGTGGGGGCAGTATAAATGCTTTTAAATGAAGGCTGAAATTAGACAATAATAATCATCTCAGCAGCCCTCGAACACAACGAGACGTCCCCTCCTGTTCTCCCGAGGCGCCGTGCGCCGACTAACTCCGAGGCTTTTTTTTTTTCTTCTTTTATTCAAAGCAGCCTCGTTCGCGCACAAGTGACCCTGAGATGTGTCGGGGAGTCAAAGGGAGCCTCGCGTATTGTGTGGCTGACGCTCGGCCTGGAAACGATGAAAACGTGCCTCCTGCCAAAGCATCCGGTCATATAAGCACAGCTGCGGACGCTGATGAGATTTGACTCCCAGGTCTCAGCTTCCGTCTCTGTTGCTGACTTTCCCACCCTGTACATCAACGGCTATTTTTACCCCAGCTGTGACTGGACATCCTGAGAGACACGGGGACAGCACGTCCAACAAACGCTCCCTCGGCGTTATGGACGTACCGGGCCCCGAAACTACTCTTTCAACTGCTTCTTCTATGGCTATGACATTTTGCAGCCACTTTAAGATTCATTTAACTGTATCTCCTTTAAATATTAGCCATTATATTAAATCTTATACACTCAAACTGCACTATGTGACAAAAAGAAACAGCTTTCACAATTCTACCGGTTTGTAATGTCTTAGTCTAAGTTACCAGGAGACACTTAAGATTTGCTAGAGCCCATCTGTTTTCATAAGCTCTCTGGAACATTGACAAAAGGTCCTTGGGGATGACCTTTGTTGCTTGCCACCTCCCCCAACATCCATGTGGCCTGAATAAAAGTTCACAGCCCTTATTATTTGCATTGCACAATGACTGATACTGGGGTTCCAGTGGACTGCACGGATATCAACCGAAATCTAAAACAAATGCTGCAATTGCACAACCAGGCCCAGTGTTAACATGAGCTTATTAAAGGTTCCTCTCATCCCTGCCTAAAAACAAAACAAAAAGTAGGCCGTGGGAAAGAATAACCACAGTCAATTAACAAGACAATGTGAAACTAATTACTAATACGAGCTTAGAATAAAAGCACTCGTACAACAATGCTCGGTCCCCCTGTGACACAATCTAGGCTGAAGAGAAGACAATATTTCTGAATTATGAAAATAATCTCAGCGCCGGCTGGAAAACAAACACGGGCTCATTTTTAATCCCTCTGTTATTGTAGTGCACATACAAAGTAGGTCCGTAGCCTGTTCTAAAGAGAAACCTGCTTTTAAATAGCCACATTCTGCAATCCTCTTATGCGCTAAATATGAAAACAACCACCCATCCCCATCGCTACAACAAAAGTTGTTGATTCAGTGCATCTATAAAAAGCTTTTTTCCCAGACATTCCAGTGCAGTCGCAGCAAATACGCTGAAGGCTGGAGGATGGAGAGAGGACCACTGGGATTCACAGCATACTGGAGCGACTGTGTAATAACAACTAATCACTCCCGTAGATTAGATTGCGACAGTCATGATATCATAAGCACTTGAGGGGAATGTAAGGAAGGGACCTGTGAGCTACGTTTTGCCCTTGTGTGTGTTTTTTAAAAGAAAGAACACTCGAGGCTACGCATGCGACACGGGCGAAGAAAATGTCACCGCAGGAGAGAGGAAGATAAAATGTAGCTCCACTATGTGTAACTTCTGCAGCTCCACTGTCCTGATGAGGAAACACAAACTAATGATAGATTGAAGTAGAGATCCCAAATTTTGCAGCATGTGTCAAGCTGTCAGTAACAATATCATTTCATTCAGGGGTGTAGCCATCAAGAACGTAGAGTCTCAGCTTTGATTATTTCATTTTCATCAACTGATCACTCTGCTGACAGATAGTTAATCTGCAATGACAGTTGTTTAACCATTTTCAACACAAAAATACCAATTAACTCTCTGGTTCCAGCTTCTTAAATGTGAAGATTTGCTGCTTTTCTTTGACATGTATGATTGTAAACTGAACATATTTGGGTTTGGAGGACGGTTTGGGGGAATTATGACAGGGGTTTTTTCAGTTTTCTGACAAGTTAGACACAAAAAATATGAATCCATCAATCATGAAAACTGTCAGTAGATGAATCCATGAAGAAAATAATTATTAGTTGCAGTTTTTATGGAAAAATCATATTAGTTTATTCAAAATATGGAGCTAGCTGGCAAAGTACATGCTGTGTATGATACTCTCAGTATGGAATAACATAATTTTTCCAACCTTAAAGCTACATAAAAGGATAATTTTAAGGAATCTAGATGTTTAGGGATTAACACCATCGTTCTCCTAAATCTAAATCCTAAAATCCATCAATTTTGTCTTCAGTTAAACAAAAATAATGCATCTTGATTCACAATTCTCGTGCCAATTCTCATTTTCATCCCTTATTCCAGCCTAACAGCAGTCTAAAACTCCAGGGTAGCACTTGGACTACTGAGTTTAGTCTTTAAAAAAAATGAATTTTGATCATTCCTCCTGCTTCTGTAGCCGTAAGCTACATTCACCCACTGGATCAGCCAGTCCTGAGCTTCAGAGCCAAAAAAAAAACAAACTGTCAAGAGCAGAACAAATGAATCTGTTCCTGTCACCCGCTTAGGCGTTTGATCCAGGCTTTCAGAGCACCTGGGTCAAAAGTTCAGCACCTGCAGATGCACCCACCTAACTGCCAATTTGTGCATCTGATCAGCCCCAAATCTCCAGCTGCTGTGTTGCACATCATCTTCATCCTGCAGCCTTCATCACTGCAGCTGACCTGCCTCACTGATAACACCATCACTAATCAGCATGTGAAAGGTCAGATAAATTTAAAGCTGCTTATTTGAAACTTGCATGTGAGATATGTAACCTGTGCATTTCACCCACACAGTGCACGCATGTTATTTGATGCTCCTGCAGGCCTGTGATTTCTGATAACCCCACAGGTCCCTCATCACGTGGCTGCCTTTTTTTTTCTTTTTTCTTTTTACGCCAAACTTGTTTTCATTCTGGAAATTTCCAAAGAAATAGTAAAACATACGAGCTAGCTAACCGAGTTTTTTTTTTTTCTCTTTTCTCTCCAGTAAAACAAACACGCCAAATTGAAAACTACGTCATTTTCCAGCTTGCATGTAACGTCAGCTTCAGTGTGTAAAAACGTGAAGAAGGGAAGAAAAAAAAAACGTTAAATCACTACAACACACCACAATAACGCTGCCTTGACATTTCTCAGCCGGTTTGTGTCAAGCTAACGTCTGGTTAGCTCTGACAGCTCCGTTACAGCGGCGGTGAAACCGACGGCAAGCCGCGGCTCGGGGACTCCGCTTCGGTTGTAGCTCCGTGAGAAAATGAAATGAAAAAAAAAGAGAGAGACAGGGAGGAAATAACTCACCCAGGCTGGTGTAAAGAGCCAAACAAGCTACGAGTCGCGCCATCGCCATCTTGCAGCGTATCATCGCTCGGCTACAGCTGCACACACTCAGCACCTCTGAGGTTTGAGGATGGGGGCAGAGCGGACTGGTGGATGTTGCCATCGACGAGTTTCCATAGCTACCAGGGCTGCGCGAGGGGTTGAGCCCTGAACTCTGGCTGACAGGCGGTGGGAGGAGAAAACACATCCTCCTCCTCCTCCTCCTCTACATCACACTACACCGAGCGTATGTCATCGTGGGAAATTGGCGACCCACACCCTCTAGTGGTTGTGAACATTACCTTTCCCTTCCAAAACTTTCTTTTTGACGACTTGAAAACATACAGCATCCCTGGAGTAGTCCTTCAAACTCCCACAGACTATTTTGTTGTTGCTGTTGGTCTAATAAGTTTTCAGCAAGATTTTTGACATGATATTGTAAGATCGTAATTCCCAAACCTTCTTAAAACATTTTTTAAGTGCTACTTTGAGAACGTTAATTTTGTTATCGTTGCCCCTGACAAGTTGATATTCTACAGATAAGCTAGGAATGGCCTCTTCTCTGAATGATTTGATTTTGGGGTCAATCAGTGCAATAATAGCTCCGCTAGAAGTCAAAGGTCACGTTTTCAAAGATGCCATATTGTGGCCTCCAGGGGCAACTTATCCCATCTACTGAGGGCCCTCTAGTTAATTTCTTTAACCTCAACAGCATACCCCCAAAACATTACAGGGAAAATGTTCTACCTTTCTTAGTGTATGAGATGTGGGGCCTCGATAACATCTTGAAAAGATTTTTTGAATATTTTTTGAGTCTGCTCTTCCTCTGTCATTATGGGACATAATCTGTAGCTCATTATTTGAAAAGATAAATATCCCCAAAAACGTTCTTTGAAGACTAGATTAAACATTTGGAACATTGATTGAACATTTTTCAAATGTTGCATTGAGAATGTTCTTCTTTTTAAAACATTGTATTAGGGAATATTTTGTAAAAGAATGTTCTATAATGTGGTACGCAACAGCATATGCCAAACATTCTTAGAACGTTGCAGTGCTGGTTTGAGAACCTACTTGCTCTGTCATTATATGACATAGTCTGTTGCCCTTCAGGAACTTTATCAGATAAAGTTAAATATCCCTAAAATGCTCCTTGAAGTTTAGATTAAACCTTTAAAACATGAATTAAACATTTTTCAAATGTTGGATTAGGGATTTTTTTTTAAATCATTAAACATTACATTACATTTAGGGAATATTTTATAAAAGAATGTTCTGTAATGTGTTGCCTCCACATCATCCACCCAAACATTCTCAGAACACTGGAGGAAAACTGTTCTACCGTTGCTAATGTATCACATTACATGATGAAGAAAAATGAAGGTCTGTCATCGAATATGTGACTTGTGAGGTCTTGATAACATCTTGAAAACATTTTTTGAATGTTGAGTGGAGAATCTTCTAATCTGAAGCCCTGACAACGTCCTCCAAACATCCACGGAATGTTGCAGCTAAAATGCCATGTCTTAGTTCACTTTTAACCTTATAGAAACATTACTTGAAAATATAGATATCCCTACAACGTTCTTTGAAAATTGGATTAAAACTTCAAAACAGTGTTTGAACCTGTAGAACATTCGTTTATAAAATATTCCTCAAATGTCATACACTGGTACATGATAAAGAAAGGACACTCTCAATGGAACATTTGAAAAATATTTCAAGAATGTTGGGGATTTAAGTTCTTACAATGTCATCACCAAAACATATCCGTAAATAACACAATCCTAACTTTGAGAACATTCTAGGACAGGGGTCGGCAACCTTAAACACTCAAAGAGCCATTTGGGCCTGTTTCTCACAAAAAAGAAAACACCGGGAGCCACAAAACCCTTTTTGCCTTTTAAATTGAGGTTACCATTGCTTTTTTTTTTTTTCACCTTTATGGTATGTATAAAAAACTCTAGTGTGTTGCATTTATGAAATCAATGAACTGCCACAGAGAAAACAAAATGTTATTTCTGCAACAAAAACATTTTGACCGCCGAAAACAAAGACACTGGGTTGAAGGTTTGAAATAAAATAGTCAACGTCTATTTGAGTCCTCCTCCTTTATATGAAATAAAAAGCCGAACGTAAACTATCCACCTGCAGCAAACATAGGCGAAGGGAGAGGAGGGGCCTCTCCTTTTCCTTCTTTTTTTGTTGAAACAAGGAAAATGCGCTAATGTTACATGAAGACACTTTACACAGAGGTGTTCTGGGAGCAGCCAGGACATTCCCAATCCCAAGTTTGAGTTCCAACTGAATGGTGTCATTTAGTCTCTGTTCCAGCAGCAGCTGGACTCAGAAATGTCAGAAAGAGGCGCAGCCAGCATGGTTAGTTATCTTAACCCTGTTCAGGACTTTCATGTTGCTATACGTAGAAGGTCTTTGGGGGTCCATTGGACCCCAAGAAAGAATATGTGCAAAATAACTGTTGGTATTCATTATAGGCTTTATACAATGTTAAATACATTTTCTGATAAGTTGACATATTTTTGGCTGCAAATGCATGACAAATGCTTCTCTATTTATATTTAAAAATCATCCATCCAGCCATCATCTATACACCGCTTAATCCTCACTAGGGTCACGGGGGGGCTGGAGTCACTTAGAGACAGACAACCAAGCACACTCACATTCACACCTATGGACAATTTAGAATCACCAATTAACCTCAACATGTTTTTGGACTGTAAGGGAGGAAGCCGGAGAACCCAGAGAGAACCCACGCTGCACGGGGAGAACATGCAAACTCCACACAGAAAGATCCTGGTGCCCCCACCGGCGACCTTCTTGCTGCGAGGCAACAGTGGTACTAACTGCGCTACCTTGCAGTCCCCCAGTGTGGAAGGATGCCGGCTCAAACTGGTGAGCTATTGTTATTTAAAAATCAAATCTTTAAAAATCAAAAACCAATACCTGTCATCTAAACCAAATGGCCTGGGGTCCAAAAGACCCCAGAAGTCCTGAATAGAGTTAAGAAGAAGCCATGTGAGAGTCAGACCAGTGAACCAGACAGGTTCAGGGGGACAGTTCTGAGGACAGGTATCCAAAGCAGGACCAGTCCAGCAGCTGTAGCCCATCATCAGCACCAGGTGAAAGGCAGAGCAGGACAGACAGACATTCCTCAGAGCAAATGAAGAACAACATTGGTAATATAAAAGAGGAGAGCATTGTGTTTATGTGTGTATTTACGTGTATGTATCATTGTTATGTACCTTGAGCCATCAGGCTGTTGCTAACATGAGTCTTCACTGTGAATCAGTTTGAGTGTCATGAGTTGCTTTAAAAAGAAGCAATTTTCCAGATCATGTTTATTTTGTTAGATTTATTTAATCAGGGTACGCCTATATTTAGTCATACAATGTGAGTACAAGTAAAGAACAGTTCTCGAGAAATTGCTGTAGGCTACATCTACGAATAACGCAGTGTTTATTTTCCAATTGTTGCCGGTTTTAATGCACTTCAACTGCAACCTAAGCCTCAGATGTAATGTGTGCAGTAAACTGGGGTGGAATTGAAATAGAAAGCCTCCCGTCTTTCTCCACCACAAGGTGCATACAAATGTTTTAATGAAACCAACTGCAGCACCCAACTTTTCGTTCTCCTGCTTCTGAACAACCTTCTGATCTTGTCTTGTCGCCCAGCTCTCTCTCTCTTTGCTGTCTCCGCTGTTCCTTTTCCTGTTGTTTCTTCTCTTTCTTTTCTCTTTTGAGCCTTCTGTCCTCCTCCTTCTGCTCGCAGCTCCTGAAAAGACTGAAGAATCTCTTCTTCTGGCGCTTTTTCACGAGCTGCTCCTGGAACTCCTTGTTGTCCTTCTCCAGGATTTTATATGACTCCTCCACTTCCTGGCTCTTTTCTAGCAGGACTTGAACCTCCTGCTGCATCAGTTTCTGGTCCTGCTCCAGAACGTCTTTGTCCTTCTGGAGGTCTTTGTTTGTCACCTCCAGAAGTTCTTTGACCTTTTTAAGGTCTTCATTTGTCCCCCGCAGAATTTTTTTGTCCTTCTGGAGGTCATTATTTTTGGCCTCCAGAAGTTCTTTGACCTTTCTGAGGTCTTCATTCGTCCCCTGAAGAACTTTGTTGTGTGATGTGTTTGGGTGTGATGCATATTTTGAGTGACAAAAAATTAGAATTTAAACATTAAACGTTTTGTTTTTATGTTACAAGATCACCATAATATTCATCTGTAGAATTACATTTTTAAAACTAACGAACTAAAATAAAATACATTTTAATTAGATGCTCATTATTTATTTTCCAAAGCCACAAGGAGCCACAGCAGAGGTATTAAAGAGCCTCATGTGGCTCTGGAGCTGTGGGTTGCCGACCCCTGTTCTAGGAGAAAAAACCAAACAAACTTCCGACTGAAAACTTTACTAGAACTTTGCAGAAGTCTAGCCGGGTCTGTGAGAGTTCATAGGAGCATCCTTCCTTTACAGTATGTTTGGTACAAATGATATCAGCTCATCAATTCGAGTGAAATGTTGAATCTTTGAGAACATCTTCGTATTTATGGCCGCTTTTGCTGTATTGTCAGAATGCACTTGTGCTTCGTGGACTCCACAAGTGTTTTCAAAACCTCATAACCATGTAATCCCAGTCTGAAGAGCTTCTCGAGATGTCAGAAATGCTTGGATGTCTCAGTCTTCCAGTGCGCCATCCATGTTCAGTGCAGATAACTGAGTGTGCAGGAAAGTTCATGACCTCCTTAGTCTTCTTTGGTCTTCAAGTCAAAGCGTTGAGATGTGTTTGAGGTCTTGCTGAAGTATGAATCCTTCTCCATGAAGATGCAAACCATGAGGTGGCACATGTCTCTGAGGAGCGGAGAGCTGCTTCATCTTGGTTGATATTCCCATTATTATGCTTCACTGTGGCTTACTGCAGTGTCATTCTCTCTCCTGTTCTTCTCTTTACAAACACCCTTCTGTTACTGCCACAAATCTCAAACTTGACATTTTTTAGTGGATAAGCCTTTTTATTTGCTTCATCCACTGTGAACTGCGGCTGTGTCTTAACCCACCCCAAGTGTTTGGCCTTATTTTCCCTCCTGAGAAGAGGTTTAGAG